TAAATATTTATATCAATTATTTCTACTTTTGTAGAAAGAAAAGGATAAGATCTAGAGCCTAAGAAATACTCCTAGATAAGTAAGTCATAGATCCTTTATAAGTAGGTTTTTAAAAACACTTCAAAGCCCCTGATGAAATTAGTGTAGAAGCTAAGACTCTTGACACTACGATCACCTAATTTTTTTCAGCAGCCTTGCTCTATGTCTGTAGTAGATGCTCATTATCTGTGCAGTCAGAATAACTATGAGCTTAAATTTAACATAAATATGTTATTTCTGAACCAATACAGAAAAACTCCGCCTTTTAATTTCCTATATGGGCATTTCAAAATGTTTTTCACACTCTTGACCAACTTCCCAGACCTATACCTTACTTAAACATTCTCTCACACTCTCTTTCCTGCTCCAACAAGAACATTTTCTTAGGGTTAAGAAACATGTAAAATTCCCCAAGCTTCCTTTGATGGGGAATGAACAAAGTACTTATTTCCAGAGAAAAGGTGGATGTCCCACAGTACTTTAACTTTCCTGAATTTTCACACTGATCAACGTATGCTGAAGTCCACAGCATTCACAGTGCGAGTGTGGCAGAGGCATGGCTCCTTGCAGCAATTTTTACCGCAAAAATGATGCATTTTCTTATGAGGTCTTTAAATCTTTTAAAAATGGAGTGGTAGTTCCCCTTTCAGTCTGTACTGTAGATTTCTACAGAAGAATAGTTCTCATTCTTATTCAGCCTGCATTTCCTCCACCAAGACTAGTACAGTGAAGTCCCATTCATAGGTGGTCTTTCCACCTATGCTAGGTACAATATGGGAAAGGGTGTTTTTCTTCACAGTTTGCAGTTCATGTGTAGCTCCATTTGTGCAGTTCACAAAACAGACAAAACCCCCAGGGCATTTATAATGGAGGAATTCATTTGGGGAATATATAAAACCGTGGGTTTGCTTTCAGCAAAAACACTGTAGAACAAACTAGTCACTATTATTCTCATATCTGTGTCACTGTATTCCCCATCATTTCTGTATTCAACCTCGCTACCAGAAATAGACTTTTCTTCTGTTTCTCATTTGATTTTGGTTCGTCGTTAACTTTCCACAGTGTTACTAAAGCTCATTTGGATGCATTTGGAGCACAGGTATCTTTACACTGCACAGCCAAAAACATTGGAATGAGAGCTATTATTACAATTGTTAATTTTTTATAAGGTATAATGTTAACTTTTTTCAGAAAAAGGAATTAAAACAAGTGGAGTAAGAATGTATTCCATCTGCTAACTCCAAATAAATTCACAGTGTTGCTTGTTATGCCGAGATTCCGTAAGTGCAGGAAATGGCTCAATAGGAAGTCAGTACCGGTGCTCTGATTCACAGATTATACCAACCCACGTTTCGCCACAGCAGGCAGCCTGGTAAATGTTACAGCTTCCACCCATTAACAACACTCTTTAAGTACCCAGGTCCTTAGGCACTCATCTGGAGATTAAAAAAGAAAGTGGAGTTTCAGACCTCCTCCTTTCTCTTCATTTTTCGCTTCCCTCATCGCCTCTGTAATGGGAACGAGGCAATGAAATTCCTACAGCAAAAGCCAAATTCAACAGCTCTCAACTAGATTGGAAGCATTTTCCACTGGAAGAACAGAGAACGGTTATTGCTGTGACATTACAGTGCAAAGGAAGCTGTAATGAAAACAACTGTCAACAATCCGGAAAGTCAATGACCTCATAGTTGAGGATTAATGATCAGCTTTCCGGTTATGCCTGGTTTTAGTTGCTCGTGGAATTGAACTTGTACGCACAGAGCCCTAAATCCATTTGTAATGGTCAGCGCTTTCAGCACCGGCATCGGTGGTATGACAGGTACATGACAGGTAAAATGGTTTTGGTCTGAAATATTAGAGACAATTCAAATGGTAAACTCTGTATTTTATGTTCTTGTATCTTGTAAATATTAGCTCATTTAAGACATGTCACAAAACAACCTCAGACCAAAACTGCTTTTAATTACTTTGAGAACTTTTTCTACAATTTAAATGTAAGAATTTCCCATTACTACCCACTCTTCCAAATTACTGAACTATCCAGAACAGCAAATTTTTTGCACTGATTCAGGCGCTTCTATGCACTGATGTTTTAAACCCAATTTATGTTTCTTTATATCTCAATCTCTAGAAAGATTAAAATGCCTGACTAGGAAATCAATATTTAAAATGAGCCTTCCCAATAAATCAGGCAAAATGCTTTCACATTTATCCTTTCTACAGCATGTTCTTGTGTTAAATACAATTTCTAACAAGCACTCAGGTATTATGGTTACCAATTATTAATACAAATACACAAACTATTCATTCATAACCTTTTTTGTTGGTTTTTTTTTTAAGCAGGAAGCACATCAAACCCAGGGATGATTGTCCCCGAGTGATACTGGTATCACACACTCTATGATGTATCCTTCAGTGGATTTAAAATAAGTTTGACATTTTTAGAAAGCATTTTTTAGGCTGGATGAGAATATCTTTGAAATAAGGTATTTGCCAGACAAATCATCACTTTTTTCCTGAAGGTGAAACTGCTGATTCTCAGACATGACAAGATGCATAAGTGCTGCTCGTCTGAAGTTCCTATTTTTACACACAAAAATGTACTTAAGCAATCTCACACATTTATATTACCCTAAAAATATTTATGCAAATCTAATTTAAAAGAAAGATAGCTATACATCGATAGTTTGAGGTTAGTTGGTTTGTATGAGGAGGAAAAAGCCAACAAAAACATACATAAGAATGGACGTTATCATAAAAAAAAGCCTTCTATCATACAGCTCAAGCGCAGAGGGTATAATTCTGGACTGACTACGATTCTCTGACAACCTATTTCACAGTAGCAGATTTCAGCAGTTTTATAATCACAGATAATGCACAGATTTATAATAATGAGGTGTCAATGTGTGGAAGAAGAGGATTGCAAACCATTATTTTCTCAGACATTTTCATGGCATATGCCAAGTGCAGAGAAATGTGAGCAATGTCTATTAAAGAGACAGTATAACTTATTCAAGCGCTTTTGGATACAGAGGACTAAATGCTGGTTCCCAAAAGGCTGGAGCATGGAAATATGGATACATTACGAACAGGAACATTAAACATAAAATCTATATGATCACAGAAAAAAGAAGGAAAAGTATTCTGTGTTTCAAATTTTAAAAAATCTAATTTTAAACTCTACACTGCATTCCCATTTCCTTTGTTGCACTACAATAATACCCATAAACCCAAGGAGACCTCCAATGCTTCAAAGGCTCTGACCCTACACCAAGCTTAAACACAGTCACACTGACATGTTGGGGCTTATCCGTCAGCACACCTGCTTTCGTGACAGAGGCGCAAACACGTCCAGCCTGAAGGACAAGACAGACAACCTACAGCCACATTAATTAGGAAAATGTGCTCCTGAGATCCCAGAGTGAAGGTCAGCCTGCATGACCTGCAAGAGAAGCGTCCACTCTCCTGCAGAACATAGTACTAGTGATCTTAATCTAAATGAGCACTAATATCCCCATGTGTTGCTAGTAATTAACACAGTGCTTTGTTTCCAGAGCTAGTAAATTTTGGGAATGAAGGTTTCTTCCTACGAAACAGTTAGTAAGGAATGTACAATTGTTATTGTAGGAGTAGCAATATGAGATCCAGTTTTATAATCATATTCTGCTTTCTGAAATTATATTTCAATTATAATTACATACAGAAAAATCACCGAGTTTTGGTTTCAGCCTCTGTACTAATAGCGAATATCAACAGCTGCTGTAAAAAATTACAAATTGGCTATGAGTTAGCAATTCCTATTTATATTTCAGGAAAGAGTTTTGACACTTAAGGAGGACATTAAAGTGCCCTTCAGTCATTCTTCTGTAAAAATTCCTTTTTAATTGAAATCAGAGATTTCTTCTAGATCTACTGAATCAGCTGAATACATGAACAAAATGCAACCCTGGAGATGAAAATTATCAAGACAGCTGTTAATTACTGTAAATCTTGACTATGTTAAAATGCGTAATCTACTGAATCAAGATGCTTTTCATCAACATTTTTTGTCATGCTTTCTCCTAAACTGCCCTTCCCATCTTGCATGATTGAAATATTCCCTATGGCCTATTATCAATTCCATAAATACCTTTTGGCAAATTTGATTTGGGTGTCCCAGTTTGTTTTATTTTTATTTTTTTTTATATCAGTTGTTTTCACTAAAAAGAAACGCGATGAGCCAAATCCGTCTCACTGTTTAGTGCTATATTACCACAAACTCACTATCAGTGCCTGACAGGTAAATAATCCTATGAATTAGCATCCTCACTTATTTCAGATGCAAATTCATCTTCCTTGTAAATTTGTTTTGCAGACATGGTCCATTTAGCAAGTGATAGACAGAATTTTGTTCCTCAGAAAAAAAAAAAAAAAAAAAGTAGCTGGTTCCCAACTTTAAAAAAAGTTTGACATAAGAAACAGGCTTAAAATTATCCTCAAAATTCATCCTAATCTTTCAATGAATTTAAAATCCTCCTTAGTTCCAGTTTGATGCTCTTACAGGCCAAAACTTCAAAGACGTTTAAAAAAAACCAAAACAAGAGCGAAAGCATACCTTGGTGCTTGTCACTTGAAATGGAACTTTTGAGCCCTTTGTAACGGGTGATGTCAGCTTCTCAGTTGGTTTTGAAAGGATTAGATTCGTAGCGGGAGGCTGATTGTGCAGAACGGAAGACAGGCAAAGCTGCACAGTCTCCTTCAGAGCTTTCAGCTGTGACTCCTGGGGAAAATAAGAAATCATCAGGTTTCTAAGATGTGTTATGATGAACAGAATTGCTTGCTTTTTCTCTCTGCATTAACCCAAACATTTATGAGCAGCTGCTGCTTTTTCTTATTAATGGAAGAAATGAAGGCTTTTTAAAGCAGCTTTTTGATATGATGAAGTTACTGTGCATTACACACCAAACTGCCTAGAAAG